TTCGTCCTTCGCGAGACTTCTTGCAGTCGAGATGGCTGTTTCAGGCTTAGGACACTTCCACTTCGCGGTACCTAGTTCCCTGGACGAGAATAATCGTGGCCAGTTGGCTCTTCCCTACACCGGAAACTCGCGTTGCTCCAATCGATACGACAAGTGGTCCTTTTCCATCATCTCCCCATCGACGATTACCAAGGACACGCAGGACATTTGCGGCTTTCTTTTTAGATCGAAGATCCAGGAAGCTCGCGAAGCTTGAAACGGACGATCCCGCTATATATAAACAACCGATAAAATTCCCGAACGAAGTTTGTCTTGACTATGTGACGCTGGAGGCCCATGCTGCCTGCCCGGTCCCTTTTGCCAGGCAAAAAAGCGAACGCTTCTCCCCATTCGGGTGAAGAAAGTTCAACGAAAGCAACGTGACATAAAGCAGCCTAGGACGGAAATGCAAAAAGCAAGACGGATTGCCGTGCTTAAAATATATGGAGAGTAAGACAGACACGAGTTGGGGAACCGGGAGGAAGTTCGATCCACGTGTTCGGTTACGATTAGAGAGACGGTGGCAAACGTTCTAGAGTTTCTATACTTTCCTTTAACTTCAAGTCAATGATCATCGAGGTGATGACCGTTTTGTTCGTCCATGTATTCGCACCTTTCAATCTCTATTTGTTACCGACGAATCGAACGAAAGCAACTGAATCTCCGAAATACCCGTTCTGGTAGGTTTTCCAAGGTGGTTCACCGGATTCCACGCAATTAATCTGAACCTCTGTCAGCGACGTCGGCCGGTCATATAATCCGAGAGGCTCTCGTGTAGCAAGAGCTTGGCTAAGAGAGAGGCTGAGAGAGAAAAAAGGAGAGAGAGAGAGAGAGAGGGCGAGCGATAAAATTAATGGGATATCTAGGGTATCTAATCGAAGAACGTTTCAAGGCCTGGCCTTAAGGTGGCCACGTAAAGCTTAGCTTAATTGGGCAGCGAGTGGTGGCCGCGCCTTATTAGCGGGTTACAACATCCGGCTAGCTGTTCATCTGAAAAGTCCTGCATGTATCCTGCGGCGGGTATGAAAGACCAGTCGGTCCGCAGAGAAGAGAGAGAGAGAGAGAGAGAGAGAGGTGGATGAAAGACAGAGAAAGAGACAGAGAGAAACGGAGAAGCGGAGCAACTAGCCTATAATAAGCCGTACGGTTGTGTACGTTCTGTTCTGTTCCGTTCCGTTCCTTCATGCTGCGCCAGTGAAGGCAGACCCATAAATCTCTCGGGCATACTCCAGGGGACATTTGATCCTTGCGTAACCCAACGCCGTTAATTTATTGCCCCGCGTTTAAAGTCACCTCCGTCCGCGAGAGAGCAACGGCTACGCCGCCATCAGAACGCCGGTTCAGGATAAACCGACGGTTCTGGCCAACTTCTCTTGTTATCGACCTCTTTAACGCGTCTTACACCGTGCTCCGTTCGCGCGATCCATCCTTCGATCGAGAGTAAAAAAAAAAAAAATACCTATATCCGTGTGTAGGACTTCACCAGGTAGATATATTGGGATCGAGGTAGCCTAGGACCCGCGAAATCTCCGAAATCTCCGAAATCTGACGCATCGTTGTTTCAGCTGTTCGACGTTCTTCCTCCTCGCGGTATTCGATGAAGAAAGAAAATCTCACACCCTTGGTACTACGCGTTTCCCACGACGAGTTCGCACAATGAAAACGCCATTAAATTCTTTTCAGCCGGCGAAGAATGTATACCAGTGATTAATTTGCCGGTGATTCTGCACGCAGATAACGCTTTCACACCGTTCCAAGGACTCGCGGTTGCGCGGCTAGAATCCAACCGTTCGGTATTGCTCTCCAAGCGTTTGACGTCTTCCTTCGAAAGGAAATGGAAGGGAAATATTCGTCGAGCACTCGTCGAGTGTTCTAATTCTATTTTCGACAATCCTGACTTTTATGGGCCACCTGTTCGCTGGAATTACCAATTCGATTATTGTAATTTGTCATGTGGTCGCCAATGCGTGCCCATTCTATATTTCATTATCTCCAGCACGCGATCTGCCCGATACGTTTCGCCATTACTTCAATGTGTTTTCCTTATCCTTGCAGGTTGAAAATTCGAATAGCTTGTTTTCGATAAATTCTGCAGTTTACAAGCCGATTAAAGTTTCTGTTCACGTAGGGTATCGAACGCCTGTTTAATTAAGCCCGTATGATCGGCCGACGAGAAAAAGTCCGACGTCTAATTCAGCGGGCGGACGAGGATAATCGAGATTCAAGTCTTCGCCGCTGGAATCGATTGACTTCGAATCAAACAGCTGCATACGTAAGTTGAGGGGATATTGCCAATATCCTTGCGCTACCTTGTTATTAGGATAATAGTTACTCGCGGCCACTTTAACGTTAGTGTCCATTTCTGGCCGTAGCGTTTGCATGACATTATAACGTCTATTATCTATTTTTAGACAAAGTTCCAAGGTGTTACCTTTAAATAAAAATATTTCTGTAAGTAAGAGCTTTTTTTTAAGTCTGTCTGTCGACTCTTTTTTGACGAGTATTCTCCAATCTAGATCGAAAGATTCTATGTTAATAGGTCGGGATAATTGGAACGATCGTTTTTAAAGTGTAGTCATTCTAGAAATCTCATTAAAAAATTTCATCCAATCCACTTCGTTGCTTCCTACGGCATTCACTCTCACATTCGCATGCGCGAACGTTCGAGGCTCGGTTGCAATTAGGCAATAGGAGCGTTATCGATAAAGAGGCGCAAACTAATCGGCACGGGCCAGTCGAAGCGTGACTCAACACCGTTCCATTATTCCGTGAACGCTTTGATGATCTTCTGGGTTAGACCGTGTAGACGGTCTTTAAGAGGCACCTTCATTAACCGGCTGACGAATGAACATTAATAAGGCAGCCTTCCAAGCGGAGGCGCGTTCGCGCGCGACTCATCAGCCTCTTTGATGAAACCCGAGATCTATGTTTATCCCAGGCTTTATCCTTTGATTGGCTAGGACTCCAATTTTGCGGTTTTGAATACGGAACGGCGTACAAACTCGCCGTTGTAAATTGGACATCAAAGCATACGTAATATTAGAATGTTTAATTCTAATGTATTTTTAAAAGCCAGAGTTTATTCCGGGATAGTTCGAAATGGGCGAGATGGGCCTGAGCAAAAACTCGAGGCTCAGAGAGATGCAGAGTAATCGTTCGCCAACAGGTAGGGAATCAAGAGGATCTAGGCGAAATGGTTAAAAGTTATAAAGAAAACGCTAGAGATTGGTATGTTGTTAATTTGAGAGCGTAGCCCGGGGGTGGGAGGAAGGAAGACGAAGAGGGAAGAGGAGAGGGAGCATGTTCCCAGAGTTTCTCTCTGTCCCTTGGCGCTGTTCTTCGTCCGCTTGGAACGGAGCTACGCTTGGAACCCTCGAAGAGAAGAGCAGCATCTCCTCTTTCTCTCCCCGGCTGTGGAAGAGAGTCGCCATCCGTCTTCATCGGCCGACAGCACGACGGGCGGCGTTTGCCTCGAATGCTCACCAAGGAGTTTTCTTCTTCTTCTTCTACTCCTCCTTCTTCTCCACCTCCTCCCCCTTCTGCTCCTTCTCTTCCCTCTGAAGCTGCTGCTGCTCATCCCTTCGCCCCCTCTTCTTTTTTCCCTCCCTCGTGCCGCACTGAAATATTCTCGTTTTGCCCTCTTGCACTCGTGTGGCAACAGCTAACCTAACCCTTTGAGATTATCCCTGGGCAAGAGAGAGAGAGAGAGAGAAAGAGAGAGAGAGAGAGAGAGAGAGAGGGTGTACATATACATATGTGGCCGCCATCACGCAGACACGCGGTCACAGACGTTCGTCCATGCAGAGTCCAGCTGGTTCTCTCTGTTCGTCCGCGCTTCTCCCTTTCCCTTGCTCCCTTGGCAAGTACAATTAATATTCTTGTTCGGGATTCGTGTACCGCCACACCGAGCGCAGATCATGTCACGGATATCTGTAAGGTATCTATCATACGCGGAACTGCGCCTACGAACCGGCGGCCAAGAGCTTTTTCTTCGTTGGACAGGCATTTTTGTTTCGTCCCGACGCCCGTAAAAACTTTCCCCGCGTGCCGAAGCAGGTTGTTGGCTGTTCATTAAATATCTCGGATTATGGCCTCGAGCTCTCTCTTTCTCTGTTGAAGTATACGCCTCGGCTAACGAAGAGTCCGCGTCCTCTCCATGGTCCTCTCTCCGTATACTATAGCTATTTCCATGTCGATGAAACGACAGACTTCGGGAACTCTTTTATTTATTCTTCTATTTTCTTTCTCCAGTTTGCCTTTTCTAGTTCTTTCTTGGCAGAACAAATATTGGTGTTGTTCTCATACTTATAGTGCAAATTATTCTGACGAGGCCGCAATGATGTAGTAAAGAATACTAATTCTAATGATCGAACCACGACTCATTTCAGCGAGAAACCAACGTTTCTCGGAACCACATCGAAATTAGAACGCGCGTATAACGCTTCACTCTTGGACGCAGCTTTGAAATCAGACTACGCTTCCAAGGGTAATTCACGTTCGTTTCGAAGCGTTTCTGTGAAATATTATACTTAGGCTCTGCAGAGGGAAGTAAAAGAAAAAACAGAAAAAAAACGTAGGGAAAAAAAGAATGAAAAAAAGTCACCGAGGGTTCACCGAGGGTTACATGCGACGTGTGTCTGATTCTACAATCAAGGACACGAGTTGGTCTACATCCAACCTCTTCACCAAAGAGGCTAAGAATCGCGAAGAAAACCGAAGCGTAGCCTCGATTCACGCCAGATCTCTGACGCGTACGTATGTGTGTGTGTGTGTGTGTGTGTGTGTGTGTATTCGTAGCCAGGGGAAAAAGGAGAAGAAACACGAGGCTAACGAGGGAATCTGTACGGTGATTTCCATGTTTCAGAGAGGAAACGAGGCCGGCAAACGTACACCCGATACCAAACCCTTGAGCTGGAGAAGGAGTTCCACTTCAACCGATACCTGACCAGGCGGCGGCGCATCGAGATCGCGCACGCACTCTGCCTGACGGAACGGCAAATCAAAATCTGGTTCCAAAACAGACGGATGAAATGGAAGAAGGAGAACAAGACGAAGGGCGAGCCAGGCTCGGTGGACGGCGACGCTGAGATCTCGCCGCAGACGTCGCCGCAGGGTTGAGAGATCCCCGAAGAGTGGAACTTCCAAAGAGGTCTCATCTCTCTCAGGGTCGTTAATACCTTGTTTCCAGCACTACCTCCTCCCCCCTACACACACACACGCACACACACACACA